TCAATCACCCAAAAGAGTTATCAGAAAAATTTTCTACCAAGTAACCAAAAATAAAATTTGATTAATTTATTAATGTTCTGCATTCTGAGAAAGATTTCCGAAGTAGAAATCGAAATATCAAAAATAAATTTATTAAAAACTTAAATTGTGGCTTATTCCCCAAAATATAGGAAATGACAAGTACTTCTGTTTTACATTCAAACTTAACTTAAATACTACTAAAAAATAAAAAAAATTGTTTTTAAACAAATTAGGTGGTTTATTTGACAATTTATTTATTGAAATAATGCATATTCGTAATGTACGCAAAAAGTACATACAAGTTCAAAAAGAGACGTTGAAATACATAAAAAAGGAACAGAGATACAGTTAACAGCGCCTTCCCCTCCCTTCAGCTCCCGAGAGTTTTAAAGCCAACGGATTTTACATACATTTTAAAGCTTTGTGGAGGATTCCATTAAAGGGCAATAATTTTAAAATTTAGTAATTTAAAACTATAATATATATTATTTCAAATAGCGCTAATAAGATTTCTTAATTATTATAAACAAAGGTGCTATGAATTAAACAAAAAAAGAGGCTAACTTTGTACCAAATTATTTTAGGACAAACTTTTTTTTATTTAAATTTGTGAAAAAATTCAAGCTTTTCAAATATGTAAAAATAATATTTTTACAGTCAATGATTAAAAAGTTATTCTAATTGTTTATAAGCAAAAAATCGACATGTTTTTGCAAAATTATTTTGCAATATTTAAAATTAATTTTCTTAATTTTTTTTTAATGTAAATAATAAAACAAGTCTTCTTCTACCAGAAACAATCCTTACAATTTCTAAAACTGTATAAATTTCTGACTTATATTGTTGCAAATAATGTTAATTTGGGATAAACAAATAAAATAACTTTTAAACTATTAGACCAATCACTTTGAAATTTTAACCCTATTTTAAGCACTACAAGACACATCATTCCATGAAATATAAATGTTATACGTTTATTTTCAAAAAAGTTCTTAACATTTATAAAAAACCGAAAATTTTGACTTATTTTGCAACTTTCTAAGCAACAAATAAGTATAGAAACATTTTGAAAACGCCATTTTGAAGGTTTTTATATAACTTATAAGTTTCCTCTCTTCTAAAATTTGTTTAAATTGCTTCACTTTTTGCTGATAGCCGAAAAAAAGCAAAAAATTTCCGTTTTTGAACTTAATTTGTTAATAACTAATTTTGTCCAAAAAATCGACTGCAGGAAACATATAGGTTTTTATTACAGAGGTCCACACTAGTCAAAACAACTGTCGTTTGCCTGGCCGGACTAGTGTCAAAAACAGGGTACTTTTTTTGCTTATTTCCCTGGCCTACTATAATTTGACCTTCTAACCACTTTAAATGCCTATCACTACACTTTTATATTTCTTCACTGAAAGATCACGATGTATGACTTCATTAGGGACATAAAGTAGGATCATTTTAGCCTCTCGCATAATTAATATAAGTTTCTGTTCAGATTTGCCTCAGGTAGTCAGCGGTTCTCTTTGGTAGTGCTGATTTATCCTCAAGTACTACAGCCGACCAGTAGGAAGTTCGGTACCACAAAGCAGGTAGAAAAGAGAAAGCTTAACAGAGTGGCTGTAACTAGAGTCATAAATTATTTTTCGGTCGTTATTTCGAAATACGACAGAGTAAAACGACTTCACTATAGTATGATGCATTGACAATCTGTCTTTTTAACAAGGACCTTTAATTAGAATCTCTGCAGAATTTCTATATTAGATTCGCTTGCACACCCCCACAGTTGAATGCCATAAATTCAGATGAGTTTTTTTACTTTATACACTAATAATTTATTTTCTGGTGATAGTTCAGATCTTCTTCCAAGTTACCAGTAAAGTTGCCTTAATTTTCTTTTTGTTTAGTTGAACAGGTGGATATGTCAGAAGTTTAGTTATAAAAGTTACATGGTTTGATTTAATTTCATTGACCTTGATTCGTCATTTTCTTAACCACATCTGAATGGTATTTAGAGTCCAAGGTGGAAAGGTTTCATTGATAGGAATGCTGGTGAATAAAAAAAAATGTCAAAGCTAACTAGTATATCTAAAAAAAAATTAAAAAAAAAAGAAAATAAAGCTAAAATGTTACGGTGGATTTTGGGTAAGACTAGAAGACACATTATCAAAAACGACTTAATTCAGGAGAGACCCGGGATGACTACAGTCTTAACAAAGATTTAAGAACAAAGACTACAATGATTTGGCCATGTCAAATATAGAGATGAAATGTGTGTGTATGTGGGATAAGGACAGAGCTGTCTGAAGTTGACAAATGGAGAGATAGAGGAAACCCAAGGAAAAATATAAATGTTTTTCGGAAGATTAAAGAAGTTTTTGGTTTGTGAGTAAATACTATATTAATATTCCTCTTATACATTTTCTGGCACAATGGTCCTGACACTCTTTTCTTCTTTTCTTCTTCTTCTTTTTTATACGCAAAATGCTTGTTCAATGTCGATTAATGCCTCTATTAGAGGTTATCACTCCATCTTTTGCGTGGTCACCCGATACTTCTTCTACCTTTTGGTGATTTGTCCCTCGCTATTCTGACTAATCGGTCTCTTTCATTCTGTTTATGTGTTCGTTCCATTCCTTTTTTCTGTTGAGTGTCCACTCATTTATTTCTGGTATGTTGCATTTTCTTCTGATCTCTTCACTCCTCATTCGATCCATCAGTGTGTTTCCTGTAATTCTCCTCAGTAAACGCATCTCCGCTGTTTCTAGTAGTTGCTGAGTTTTGGAGGTATCCGGTCTTGTCTCTGAAGTGTATGTCATTATTGGTCTTATTGTTGCTTTGTAGATTTTTGATTTCACGTCGGTATTAATGTGGGGATTGCGCCATATCGTGTTATTAAGACAACCTGCTATTTTATTAGCCTTTTGTACTTGATTTTTCACTTCCTTCTCCACATCTCCGTAGCTAGACAGTGTAATTCCTAGGTAATTTGTCTCCATTACTTGCTCAATGCTGATACCGTCGATTTTCAGTTTACATCTAATTGGTTCTTTTACTGATTACAATTGTTTTAGTTTTCTGTGTAGAGATCACCATATTAAAGTCCTTTGCCCTTGTGTTGAATCTATGGGTTAGTCTTTGTAGATCGTCTTCATTGGATGCAATTAGGGCCGCATCATCTGCATAGCAGAGTATTCTGATTTCTTTGTTCCCCATTTTGTATCCTCTTCCTTTATTAATAGTATTGATGATTTCATCCATGATTAGATTGAATAGCGTTGGACTAAGCGAGTCTCCTTGTCTTATTCCATTGCCCATATCTATTGGGTCTGTAAGCTGGTCATCTATTCTGACTTCCATATTGTTGTTCTGGTAAATGTTCTCTATTGTTTTTATAACATTTAGTGGAATTTCTCTATCGTAAAGAAGTGAATTACATCTTTAAGCTTTACTTTATCGAACGCTTTCTTCAGGTCTATTAGACATATGAATGCTGGTCTGTTATACTCTAGTGCTTTCTCGGTAATCTGTTTTATGATGAATACTGCATCTGTGCACGATCTTCCTGTGCAAAAACCCTGCTGTTCATCCGCTAAGGTAATTCTCTGATTTATTTGGCCTTGCAATATTTTGGTTGTATGTCAAAGTGGTGTTTAATAAGTTGATACCTCTGTAGTTTTCAGGTTGTTTTTTATCTCCTTTTTTGTATAGTAGGATAAGCTCGCTTTTTTCCACTCTTCAGGTATTTTATTATGTTTGATGATTTTGTTAATTAGTGCTGTTAGCTGTTCTGTTAATGCTTCTCCACCATATTTCAATAATTCATTTGGAATTCCATCTTTACCTGCAGCTTTTCTGTTCTTCAGTTTTTCTAAAGTTTGTTTTACTTCTTTATCTTATCTCGACTTCCTCGTTTGTAATGATTTCTGATGTTTCTGGTTCTAACATCATTTGCTGTTTATCATTATAAATCTTCTTTAGGTATTCAATCCATGTGTCGTTATCTATGTGTTTCGGTTCTTTAAAGATAAGACTATTATCAAAGATGAAAGATTATTAAGTCTTTCATCTCTGATCTTTGGCCTCTTATGAAACGCCATATTTCCTTTTGTAGACCGTAAAAGTCGTGTTCCATTTCTTTTGAGAAACGTTCCCAGTGTTCGTTTTTAATTTTTCTTACTAGTGCTATTGTTTCGTTTCTTATCTTTTTGTAATTGTTGTATTCTTGTGGTGTTTTGTTAGACATGTATCTTAAGTAAGCTTTTCCGCTTTTGGAAATATTTATTTTTAAGAATTTTCCTTTCTCCTACAGCTTCTTTTGCTGAATCTAGGATGCTTGCTTTAATTTTCGCCCAGCTTTCTTCGATTCCATCACTTTCTAAGATGTGCACGTTGTCGAGTTTATCTCTAAACTCGACACTCTTTTATGTACTGCTAATTGATCTTCATGATCTTAAATTTGTAACTAATTTATACTTAAGGTTTTTAGCAGGCCTTTTTGTAATTTATTTCACCTGCATACAGTTCTTTTTGGCATCCTGCTGTTTGCAACTAATTTGTGCAGGGTTTGGTTTCCCAATGATTTCTGCCTATTTTGTTTTGCCACCTTTTAACAAGATAATTTTAACTTCTAACTCGTTATCAACCCAGAGACTGACATACACATAGGCATAATCAGTGGATGTTAACATCTACTGAATTTATTGCTTCATTTATAGGTTAATAACCTTTTTTACGCCAAACGAAAAGTGATTCTTCAGTAATCTGCACCCAAATTTCCTGAATTAATATATGTTAGTTAAGCGAGGGTAGCGTACTAGAACGTTTTGATACTCCACTGTAAAGAAATATGTGTTAACTATTCATTACGAGGACTTCTTAGTACATCATTCTCGTGCTAATAAGCATATCTTAGATCAAAGATTTAAAAAATATCTAGGGCAGCAGTTAAATTTAAAGTAATACATGCTTTATGTTGATATTTTTAGATTTGCCAAGTGTTAGTACAGACTGCATTTCTGCAAGACGGCGTACGACGTTCGAGTAACACAAAGAAATTACGAAAAACCAAACCTGGAAGGGAGCTGGTAGCTTTTCTTATTCTTGCCAATATATCATTGTGGTTATTACAAACATTTGAGGTTAAGGCGCATGGTATTCAGGACAACAGATACGATTTCTATGGAAAAGAATTGTGGACGATATTGGGACACATGTGTTTACCATTAATGATGTTTTATCGTTTTCACGCATCTGTTTGCTTCGTTGACGTTTGGAAATACGCCTATGTTCCCTCTGGTCATTAGTTAGGTGTTATGTAATATGTATTTAATGTTAAGCAAATATATCAAATATAACTATACAACAAATTTCTTAATTACTAAATCATGATCATTAAATATGAGGCGGGTATTCATGTACATATGTTTTTAGGCAATGGAGAAAGTAAAAAATTTTTAAACATCTTAGAACTGGACATAATTATTAAATTTATTTTAAGTTACTTAACTCATGAGCATAAGTATGTAAATAAAAGTATTTTTGGAGCTTTTAATTTTGAAGAATCTGGTAAACTATGTTTAAACCTACTAAGGAAGAAAATAATACAATTTTATCCTAAACTCTTAGATTCTATTCCAGCAAATTTTTTTATTCACACAAATACTGTGATATACACATTTTTTAGAAAGAAACCCTATCGTAGGCCAACCACTTCTGGTAGAGTGTTGACCTAGAGGCAGCGCCCAACCAGGCTTAGAGTGTTGATCTGAGACGTAATAGTTTCGTGACTAAGTGTTAAGTAGTTACTTTCCGCTTCTTGATAAGTGTTAATTAATCAGTCCACATCTAACTCTGATAATTCCTTTTTCTAACGCATGTTTGTAACGTCTTTACCAGGATTAACATTTTAATTTGTATGGTACATATGAGGTGCTTAGAAGCAAAACGCGTTAAATCCACTTTTTGTCGAAAATGAGATATTGAGCTTAACTAGTTAATTTGCGGTTAATATTAATAATTGTATTGATATTTATCCCCGGAAATGGAACAATCCCTTCAGTTGTGTCTCCATCTAAAGCGAGAAAGAGGAAAGGTAATCCTACTTCGACTAAGAGAGCAGTTGCAAAAAAAATAAGGTAAGTAATTTTTATTTTTTTTGGTCATTTTTTTCTCTACTCATATGTGATACGACTTAGGCACTTAAAGTGTAATTAAAAAACTTGACCCTATAGTTCGTTTATTTTACACAAAAAACAACCATTTGGTACGTTATAACTAATACTTCTTGTATATTTTAACATTTTAATTTACAATAATACAATCACAGTATTTAGTACTGACTGTCTACCGTTTAATCCGACAAAAAATATAGAAAATTATATACACAATTGAGTGTTAAATACAAAACATTATGACTGTTAAACTATAGGTAATAATCTAGAATAAAATTGAAGAATGATAAACTAAAATCTGTTTTTGTTTCTAGATATTCGGCACCACATGGGCCCATTATAATGCCAGACTGCAATTACGCTAAGAAAAAGATATACAAATGTAATGAATTGACCTACGAGTATGTAACAGCATTTCAAGATTCTTTTTTTGCAACTGAAAAGAAAAGTGATTAAGATAGCTTCATTATGAAACACACAGTAGTAATTCTACGCAGTAGTCCGCAAAAAAGATCAGCTGGAAACAGAAAAGAAAAAAATTTCACAGGAAGATTTTTCGTAAGGAAATTGGGCGAAGGTGAAGATGTTCAAGTATGTGAACGGGCTTTTCGACTTATTCTAGGGATTGGTAACTCTAGAATACAGACTATCCTCCACAATTATGCAATCCATGGTAATGTTGCTCAGGAAAGAAGAGGTAGTGACCGCATTTCTAACAAATTCAATGAGAGACAACAAGGTGTTATAAAATACATCAGCTCTTTAAAGTGTTTAGAATCGTATTATTGTCGTAGCAATACTCGTCGAAGTTACCTTTCATCTGATTTGAGTATAAAAAAGTTAGCAAATATGTAAAACGCTCAAGCCAACGAGAACTTGAAAGTGAAAAATTCGTACTTTCGCCAGATTTTTGTGCATAAGTTTAATTTGGGCCATGGTTCACCTAGGGTCGATGTATGCTCGACGTGCCTGAAACTTTCAGAAAAAATAAAGCAAACAACCGATCCTCGGCAAACCGCATCTTTAAAAGCTACCCAAGCTATTCACAAAAAAAGGGCTAAAGCTTTTTTGTATTACTAAAAGTACAAGAAAATTCTCAGTGCAAAATGTCTCCACATAATTGCTTTAGCTACGTATGGACAGAAGGAACTTATCCAAAAGGTTCAAATGAGGTAGCGTCATGTGTATTTCATTGTCTGCAAAACTTAGATACACCACAAATTAAGAAGATAAAACTTTTTGCAGATGGCTGCGGCGGCCAAAACAAAAATAAAACTATGATTTCTATGCTACACAGATGGCTTCTATTCGCTCCTAAGAACGTTGAAGAGATACAATTGATATTAAAGTACGAGGCCATTCTTTTATCAAAACAGATAAAATCCATATTCAAAATAATAATAAAGCCGTTTAGAAAATTTTTGAGAACTCAAGATTTCTGCACAATAATTTACTCAAACATCTAAACGTCTTTTACATGTTTTCAAAATAAAATATTTTAATATGAAGCGACCACCGTTTTTTGCCCTTTCCTCAAAAGTGACGTCTTTGGACTTAACGCGTTTTGCTTCTAAGCACCTCATATATTACGTATAATATAATTTTATTTTGTTATTTATTTATTTTAAATATATTTTTATTTAATTAAACCTGTGTTTTACTAAGTAAACAAATTTAAAAGAGCTACCCATCACACTACTGCGCCAATCGCGCGATGTAAAGTGTATGTCCTGTTGGTCCAGTGAATAAGTGGTTAAGTCGAATTTTTGCCAAAATGGGTTAAGTGCACAAATGAGGAAAGAATGACTTCTCCGATGTTGTGAACAAGTAGTTAAGTTGTAAGCTGACTCTAGCATAAGTTATGTGTATGTGTATTTTTAGCCATCTTTAAAATTTATGTACTATTTAGATTAACTCGACTTACCTAATAACATATAAAATAATGTCTTAGGAAATAAATGGTTAATTTGACCTGCCCAGTTATGACCAATAATCGTTTTCTGTGCCAGTTTAAGTCGAGTTGACCTTTTTTCAAGCAACTGGTTAACTATAATATAAGTTATTACATCACGACATATTATAACTAATTTACGATCCAAAGCAGATACTTTTGGATGAGCTACAGCGTTCTTATACACTAGTCGTTAGATAGCGTTGTCTGTACATTTATTGAATTATTAATTAACACTATTCGGGGAAGTACACGCGCACATAACGATATTATTATCGAGGATAAATTAAAAATTTACATTCATTTTATTTTTACTCTGTGACTGATTGCATTAGTTCTTCGTACTATTTCTGCATTCTGTTTAAAATATGCATTCCCGGTCAATATTTTTAGGAGAATTAAAAGAAAAAGCTTTGTCAAAAAAGATTGTTCTGCCTGCTTTTGATTCAAACACACTAAAGGACAATAATGATAGCGATTTAATGGAAGGTAAGGTACTTACTTAGATTTGTGCAAAACCTTTCTAGAACAGTTCTTTGTTTCAGTTGTGGATGTCGCAAATACATCATCAGCTAGTAATATTATTGCAGTTGACGTGCTAGGAAGATTTCAGTTCAGATGATAGCATTGCTGATCCGATTTATTTACCACAGCCTGGATATTCAAGCTCATCAGATGAAGGAAACTCCAACACTAAGCGGACGATAAAAACAAATATGTGCCAAGAAGACAACAATGGAAGTAATTCATGTAACACTGAAGTTGTTGAGGTAAGAACTAATAATAATAAAAAAGATATTAAAAGAGGGAGATCCAGACGTCAGAGAGCCGAATGCAAAAAATTGAGAAATTTAGGAAAATCATATATAACCAAAAATAAAAATAATTTCTGAACGAACAATGGGTACTTTAAAATCATGTAGAATGAAATTCAATGACAGGATAACAGAAAATGATAACAAAAATTTGCTTCGAAAACTATTGGAATTTAGGAAGTAGAAACAAGAGGGCCAGGTACGTTGGTTCTTTAATAGAAATAAATGATAAAAAGACTAAAAAAAATATTAATAATCCAAAAAAGGACAGGTCATGCAGTTGCTCATACTATTTAATAATTGATAAACAAAAAGCAAAAGTATGCCAAGAGATTGTTTCCAAAAAATATTGGGCGAAACAAAAGGTTTTGTCCAATTAGTAATAGAAAAAAAAGACCAATTCTGCAAGTGGTATAATATAAAAAGACCAACGAGGTTTAGCCTCGCCTCAAAATAAATGGAGCTCAAAAGATTTGCAGGATGTCAAGTCTCATATTTTGTCATTCCCCAATTACGAGAGCCACTATTGTCGAAATCGAACTAATAAGAAATTTTTACCATCGAATTTGACTATCTCAAAAATGTTTGATTTGTATAAGGAAGGACGAGCATCTTCTGTTTGCCTAACTATTTACACTAAAATCTTTCGTGATTTAGGTTTAGCTTAAAAAAAAAACCAAAGCAAGACACACGTCACAAATGTGACAATTTTATTGTACAAATTAAATTATCCTCAGGAGAATATGAAACCCAATTAATAGCCGAAAGAGATGAACATCATAACATGGCTCAATTTGCTTATGAGCAGAAAAGTCGAGACAAGGCAATTGCTAATGAAAATCAATCGAAAAGAGTTTATGCATTTGACTTGCAACAGTGCCTGCCTACCCCTTACCTTACAACCTCAGTTTCTTTCTACAAGAGGCAGCTGTGGAGCTTTAACCTCACGGTGCATGACATGGTAACAGGCAAAGCAACTTGCTACTTGTGGGATGAAACCATATCTGGCAGGGGAGCTAATGAAATCGCCTCATGCCTTAATCATTTTTTAACACACTTGTTTTCTGAAAAAACAGAAGTAACATTTTATTCCGATACGTGTGGCGGTCAAGATAAAACTAACGTCGTTGCATTAATGTTTCTTAATTTTGTTAATCAAAAGGCAAACCTGAAGATCAACCACAAATTTTTGGTTAGTGGTCATACCCATATGGAGTGTGATACTGACCACTCCGTTATTGAAAGGGCCAAGAAAAAAACTAATTTAAAAATTCTTCTTCTTCTGGTGCCACTCCTAGCGGAGATTGGAAATGATCATGGCCACTGCGACTTTGTTAGCAGCGCGCCTGAAAAGTTCAATCGAACTACACCCGAACCATTCACGTAGATTACGAAGCCACGATATTTTTGTTCTTCCCACAC